TGCTTCGTTTATTTTGTCATTTCTGACGCGGGGTATCGAGGTGACAATCGGAAGCTCATATCGTTTCTCATCGTCTACTCTCCAAAAAACGAGGGGACTATCTGTATACGGGTAAAACTGGTCTCAAAGCACATGCTGGTCTCCGACATAATAAGCTAAGCTCGAGACATGGTAACCGGGGTCCTAGACCGAGGTAGGGATCTCATCCATTCTGAGTCCGGACCATAAAACCCGCCTTCGAAGATATCGGGGACACGATTCGGATTGGTCCTGGCCTTGATTAACTTCGAAGAACGTTGTCAGGTAGTCAAGCTCATCCACAGAAGGCCATGATATCCGTAACCGACGGAATATCACGGCGGAGATCTCGACGTGAGATCATCAATTAGTTAATTAGGGGATTTTTACTTTTTATAGAGTTGTACCTAATATAGGACTATATAAAGAGAAGTCTGATTACTTGTAGAACACATTGTAACACGCATTCCAAAGCAATATATTATCATTTTCTTCTTTAAACTCTTGTTCTTCTATGTCTTGATACTCATCAAATTGCATCCAGTTCAAGTGTGGCTAACTCCCCAAGGCTGTAACTGATCAATTCTTGTGGTTTGAATTTACTCTGTCATTATTTATTTTAATTGCAATTTAATTCATCGTTTTATGTCAATTTAATCCACATATCCTTAAAACCGCTTACAAATTCAATTGTTATCCAATTACGAAGGTAAACTTATTGAAAGGTCCGGTTGACCCTTCTAAGTTCTAATGGAGAATCTTGATCCAAATTCTGACATTTTAAAATTAGAATAAAGCGCATACGGTGGAGGGACATAATAATTACAAACGATAATTTTGCTCGTAATTGGAGGAAAAGAAATCGGAGAGTACAGCTTTATCTAGAGAGAAAAGCAAATAAAGAACGTTCTGATAAAAAGGTAAAAGAAACACACTCTCGAAATCTTTCTTGACCGTATTATGTTTCTTTCCAGTGCTGCCCTCTTTAGCGAGATCATCTGATTCGTTAGAAAGTGTTTGGTTTGAGGAATCTATCTTTAATTATAGATTTCGGTTTGATCATTGGACTAAAAAAAAATAGTAGAAGAGAATGCTTCTCACTTTAATGAGCGCGATACCAATTCGAATTAGCCAAGGCCCATATATATATATATATATATATATATATATATATATATATATATATATTGGACAAGGATAAAAAAACAAAAACAAAAACAAAAACAAAAATTATTAATTGAAGGTATAACGGAAAGTCATGCTGTATAGGAAATGTTTTTGACGAAAATTATTTTCTGCAGGAAATGTTTTCAATTTGTATGGTTGGTCGTGAGCGCGATAGATATTAAAAATTATTATAATGCCGTTAGCAAATAGTAAACGTTTGATTAAATTTCTGTGTACTAAAGATAAAAAAAAAAAAAAAAAAAAAAAGATATCGATTGAAACAAGTAACATAAAATTAAAAGTTAAGATAATAGTAAACAAAAGGAACACCCGCTTAGAAGTGAGTGGAATTATTTTTTTCTTTTTGTATTTATGATCAAGAATATTTTTTTGATTAGCCAAACAGCGGAATATAATTTCTTCATAGCAAATATTTCTCTCGAAAAAACCTTCCACTAGGGGTGTACAAACCAAACCGGAAAAACGCACCAAACCAAAAAGTCAAACCAAATCGATTAAAAAATCCGACTAGGTTTGCTTTGATTTGGTTTGGTATTGAGTAAAAAAACCGAACCAAAACCGACATATAAATATATAATTTTTATATATACTTTAAGATTTTATATAGAATTTTCTTTACAAAATATCTAGATATATTTGGAATTCTCTTATGGGGTGTAATACTTAATAGAATATAAAGTGCTCTATATTTATTAACCTTAAATAATGGGTTGTATGATCACTTTCTTATCAAGTGTTACTGAAATGCGTCAATCTTTGTTCTTCCATATTCATATGTCAAGATCTATTAAATTCTTATATATTTCTCGGATTTGAAGTGGTTATTATTATTATTTATGTATCATATGGATTTTTATGTTTAATTACTAAATTTGGTTAACCTTGAAAGTATATATCAACGAAAAATTATTGTTAGACGACTAAAAAATAACTATCATGTTTTACTAAGAAAATTATTTCATAAGAATATTTTAATAGATAATATATTTGTAATTTTTTTAATTTTTACTAATCATATATTTACTTATAAAAAATTTAACAACGTAAGATCGAAATAATATTTAAGTAACAAAAAATTCGAAAAAATCCGAAAAAACCCGAAAACCCCAACAAACCAGAACCAATCTAAACCGATATAGTTGGTTTGGTTTGGTTTTGATAAAGCCCGAACCAACCCGGTCCATATACACCCCTGCCTTCCACCCTAGCAAACACACCTGAATAAAAGTAAATGAAAGATTGAAACATGTGTCGTCTTCCTCCTTGTGAGCATCTAGTAATAAGTATTTGCAAGAACTAGAGGGACATCAAGGTAGGGTAAGGTACAAAATAAATTCCACCTTACACCGACCATTACCGTAACTAGCTCGAACTAGTAGAAATGACTTTCGAATTAAAGAATCTCCCAAATTTGACAATCTAATTAACCTAAGGCGCTAGATCATCACATTCATTTATCTTCCTTTTTATCATGTGATTCAACAGTTGAGCTGACCAACACAACACTTATGCAGATAAAAATTTGCCCTGAACCTACGTGCTTATTATGACTTTGTGCGAAAGATTCTGAATTTAAGACTTTCTATACCAAAAATATTCTCTTAATTAAATCAAGGTATTCGGACTTGGATGCGGCTAGAAATCGTTTCTTCAGTTACACAGCCCCTTGGACATACAATATAACCTACTCATGCAAAATCTTTTTGCTCCATATATTTTGTGTACTTACAATATTTTGACAGCTTCCTCAACTAATTATAAAACGCACAATATATGGCATTTGTTCAATGTACTAAGCTGCGTGGCAAAGATGATCGGACTAAAGCGACCCTTGAGATAACAATATGATTTGCTTTTCTGCAGATTAATTATGACCAAAGACGCCAAACCATTGATTTCTTGTACGTATATATATTTATATATACCCCTTGAAGACGCACACGGATGTCCTTTTAATAAATGACAAAGATATCTATCGCTGAATTTGAAGAAAACGACACTCTTTGTCCTAATCTCTCTCGACAAAAAAACGACGAAAATCTACTTGTGTTCTTTCGGTCTAGTATTTTTGTATCGTCCATAGGTGAAAGCTCAATAGTAGGTCTGTATGAAATTAGTACAGGAAAGAAGCAGTCACATGCAGAGATCTAACAATGACAAGGACATTAAAAACACCACATATATAACGCAAAATCCAATCATGTTCAGGAAGTCAAAAAGCTAAGTTTTTCGAGATCGAAATTAGTAGTCACATTATGATCTAGTGGAGAAGCTACGTTGGGTTAAGGGTGGTCAAATTGACCACCCTTTATCGAAAAATTACATTGTGTATTTAGGTAAAATATTAGGTTTTAGAGGTATATAACATATATTGAGCATTCTTTGGTAGAAAACTTTTTCCTCTCCTTTCAAGTTTGAGCACCCTTGAGGAAATTTTTGGCTTCGCTACTGTGATCTACGTGCTAGATGGTGGGAATAAAGCGAATTTTTCCATATATTAAATATCCAATTTTAAAACATGCGAGAAAATTTCGCAGTAGATATCTCTAAGTGCATTATTCCAAATTACCAATAAACAATGAAATGCAGCCGATATCGGAATCACCATTACACCAAACATTAGAAATAAATAATGAAGGAATGTCCACCAAATAACACTCCACTATTCCAGAAAGAAGGCTTTTTGCTGAACATAATTGAGTTGATAAATTGACTACATTAATTTTTTCCGGCAAGGTACCGAGGAGAATGTTTGTAGGTAGGTCCCATTCATATTAAGAAAATGCAATACAATGCACTCGACCCCTTTGTTTTCTAGGTGCATGGGAAATATATATACTATATAATATGGTGGCAGGATAATTGAGTAAAGTATGTACCATAAAAGTTAAGGTAACAGCTCGAACGCATCATTCATAGAAACATGCCATCATTCGACGAGATGCAACTTTAATGGATTGCATAAATTAAACAAGTTCATTTCTGTTGTTTCAAGGTAATATCTTATCTTATGATTTAACTATATGATGAATAGTGGATTAGAAGGAGAGTCATGGAGCAACGGTAAAATTGTCTCCATGTGACCTATAGTTCATGAATTCAAATCGTGAAAGCAGCCACTAATGTTTGTATTGGGTAGGCTGTCTATATCACACCCCTTGGGATGCGACCATTTCCAGGACCTTGCCTAAACAGAGATACTTTGTGCACCGCGCTGCTATTATGAATAGTGAATTACTCTTTGAAAATGGGTAACGTGTGTTAGCATGTGATAAAAGTATATATGTTCTCATGTTACCTGGTTGGTTAGCTGGTTGTTATCTTTAGAATCATATCCTACTTAGGCTTTTAATCAAAACATAAACAAAGGTGATACTACAAAAGATTATAGAGCTGGAAAGAACTGACAATCCTCAGTAATGACCTGTCGACAAACTCAAAAGCTAGGAAGATAAAAGCTTTTACAAAGGTCTTACATACATAATATAAGTAAATAATTAAAATGCTTTTCTAACAACTTAAATTTTTAAATGAGATCATGATCAGACATTTTAACATGATAATAGAACTGCATTAGGTCCCAAGTTCAAATCACACCACCACTCAAAAAAATTGTCACTCAAAAAAGCAAAAAATTATTGAAGTTAGTTTTTTAGACGAGGTTATCACACATTTCAACACAATGAAGGAGCATTTTTTAATCTTTACTTAGAAAATTAAGGCAATTCTAACTTTAAGCTCTCAAGAACCAAAGGAAAGATCCATCATTTATAAACATGACTCATAATTCAAAGTAATGCAAACGAAAAGAGAATTTTCATATAGCTCAAAGAAAAGGAGGGTAAAGAAGAAATAACACAATATATATATCCATTCTGTTAGTAGCAGTAGCAACAGTAGTAGTTCTAATTATACTGGAAAGCAACTAAAGATGTCACTCAGCCTGTAAAAATAACTTAAAGACACAAATAGAAAACACCACCTTCTAATTAATTACCAAGATGATCCTCCGCCCAACATTCCATTCCAAAATCCATGAGATTCAGCAGCTTGCCCTCTATTTTGTTCATCAAAATCATGATCATCATTTGCCGTTGAAACATTCTTCAAATCATCCAAAGGGAAAAACAGTTTTGCTCCAGCAGTCTCTCCTTGTAAACTTCCATACCCATTATTATTATCAAACCCATCCAAAGAAAAATTAAGTGTAGGCTTCAAATCATGCAAATTAGGTAGCCCAGTTGATGTTGATGAGTACACAATATTATTAGAATCCGAAAGCTGTGGCATAATAGAGGACATAAATGAAGTTGTGGAATTAGGGTTCATTAAAGGTAAGGCCATAAGCTCAGAAATGTTACTGAAATTGCTAGTAGTGGTTGGGTTAAAACTTAAATTTAGGTCATGGGGTTCGTTAATTATTTTAGGGTTTTGAGAAGAAGAAGTTGGAATTGTGAGATCTGGAATTTTCTTATATGAAGATGATGTGGAGGATGAAGAATTATTAGAAGAGGAATTAGATCTTCTGTTTTTTCTTGAACCGCCACCAACTGGAACATTTCTTAAAGAACCACCTTCAGTCCAATACCTTCTACAAGTTTTGCAAAAATACCTTGGTTGAGAGAGGCTATAATTGTTGTAATAACAGAATTTTGTGTTTGTTGAATTGCATCTTGGACAATTTATTGCTTGTTCCTTTTGTGGTCTTGGCTTTCGTTCTGTTGCTGGCACTGGTTTTGAGGGTTCCACAGCTTTCACTAGTCCTATGCCCTGTACCAAAATAAAGAAGACAAAGAAAATAACGCCATAGACTAAGTAATCAAAGAAACAAAACGGAAGCAACAAAACAAAACTAAAGTGATAACTAGTGCTTTACACTTTTTCAGGCAGTAGCTATAGCTACAAGTAGAAGAAGCAATAAAAACAAATTAAACTTGCTTTTAAGGTAACTTTATTGGATAGTGGAAAAAGAAAAAGGACGAAAAAAAGATGATATGAAAGATCACAATCAAAAAGGATGCATGGGCAACACCACAATTAATTACGATTAGAAATGAAAATATGAAGACCCTAGTATTATATCAAAACAAAAATAGCCTAGAAAATCTAAACCCTAGAAAGATGTATTAATTCAGTAGAAGAGTTAGAGAGAAAACTACATGTTAATCTTTTACCTGTGGCCAGTGAGAAGTATCCATATTGAAGAAAGGGTAGACGAAAAAGCAAATGGGGGAAAAGAGGGAGTGAGTCGCAAAGCAGATGATGGAAACAACAACCCACTTTCAAACACATGAGGCTCTGGTCCTAAAGCAAGGAAAATGCCACTTAACTTAAGATGGTCTCTTTGGCGGTTCCATATATCGGTTAGCTACCGAGAATAATATATTCTGGAATTTCGATTCATTAATAAAGATGTTCAAAATTTATAAATATATTATAATTTGACTTATATATATTGTGTAAAATATTGTCTTTGACCTATATATAAGTGTAAAATATAATCTTTAACCTATATGTAATGTAATTTTCATCAATATATGTTCAACTAATTAATATATACATATAAAACTTACATGTGTTATTTAATTATTCGACAAAATATGCTCAAATAATCATTCCTGAAGAGAATTCTTTTATACGATACATGTGTTATTTAATTATTCGACAAAATATGCTCAAATAATCATTCCTGAAGAGAATTCTTTTATACGATAAAAGTCATGTTTGACAAAAAAAAAAAAAAATATATATATATATTTTGGTTTTAATTCGAAAAACACATGTTTTATCTAGGTGTGTACATAGGTCGGGTCGGTTCAGATTTTGCAATTACCAAACCAAACCAATATTGTGTCGGGTTATTAAATCTAAAGACCAAACCAAACCAATAAAACTTGTATTTTTCAATCTTGGTTTTTCCCGATTTTTCGGTTTTTCGGGTTTTTTTAGTTAAAATCTTCGTAGCACAAAACTTATAACTTATATTTCTGTAATCCTAGTAAGATATAATTATATAAGGTATTTTTCAAAAAAATAATACAAAATATGAGATGTATCATGGCATTATCCTAAAATATACAACAATAAAGACAATAAAATTAAGTAATATAAATATTTCTAATTAAAAAGCCATAATAAAACTAAACATAATCTCAAAGTACTAAGTCATTCTAAAATAAGTAGACTAATAAGGGAGTATTAATTACATGACTAAACGTTAAAGAAAAATAAAAATAGCTTACGCATTTTTATCTAAATTATTGCAAAACAAAAAATAGATATTCAATATATTGCCGTTCATATTCAAACCTTGAATGTCTTTTGTTAGCATTAGTATTGATTTGATTTTGGTTTGGGATTTTGTTAGCATTATTTAAGTTACTAATATTAATGGCTATAAAACTTATTGGAACATTCAAAAATTCTAAGTCAAACCTTGAAATAATGCCTTAAAATATAAAATTATGAAAAAGTTTTAAAAATACTTATTATTACATAACAATAAGTATATTTATATATTAAATATATCTAAAATTTCTATATATGTAATGTCGGGTTGGTTTGGTTTCGGTTTGACTTTTTTTTGCTAAAACCAGAACAAACCAATTATGGTCGAGTTTTTTTTTCCAATACCAAACCTATTGAGCTATGTATATTTATGTATTTTACATTACTGTTAGTTTTATTGTTAGCTTAGCTTAGTTAGTGTTAGTTGTCAATTAGTTGGCAATTAGTTAGTGTTACATGTTATAAGTGGAGGACCCCACATATGTATATATGTACTCCTTTACTGAGCTAAGAAGATTGCACAGTTCATATATGAAACTGTTCTCTCTCAGACTTCTCTCTCTAGAAGTTTCTGAAGTTTCACCATGGGAGCTCAAGGTTCTCTGTGCCTTCTTCCTCTTTACATGGTATAAGAGCATTGCTCTATCAGATCCCACTACTCGATTACTGTTGAATCGTGATTTTCATTGCAAAATCGGGAATTTCAATTTTGCCCTAATTTTCAATTTCGCCATTTCTCTTCTCCCAAATTAACTCTCACATGGCTATTCTCGATCAAGCTGAAGATTCTGGCCTCACCTCAGGTAGTCCCATTTCTGAGCCCAATATCGATCCAAATTGTCCCTTTTACATGCACCCTTCTGACAACCCTAGTGCAATGTTGGTGACGACTCCTTTTAACGGTATTGTTTATCGATCTTGGAGGAGAAGTGTTCTACGTGCTCTTTTAGTCAAGAACAAGTTAGGCTTCATCAATGGTGAGTGCAAACGTCCAGAACCAGATTCCCCATCCTTTCATTAGTGGATGCGTTGTGACGATATGGTTACTTCGTGGATCTTAAACTTTCTTGCTAAAGATATCGCAGATAGCGTAGAATATGCAAATGATGCAGCGGAATTATGGAAATAATTAGAGGATCGCTATGACCAAACCAATGGAACCAAGCTATATCAAATTCAGAAGGAAATTAACGATTTGTCTCAAGGAGTTCTCGAAGTTACAGGTTATTACACAAAAATGAAAAGATTATGGGAAGAACTGAACAATTTGAGTGCCAAATCTCAATGTAGCTGCCAGTGCACTTGTGGAGCAAAAAAATCCATGCATAAGGCCGAACAAGACAGGCGTCTGATCCAATTTTTTATGGGACTTAATGAGGTATACACGGTTGTGCGAGGTAGTATTCTGATGATGAATCCATTGCCATCAGTGGCTCAATGGAATCTGCATCTATGAATGTCAATACCTCTAGGAATATCAGCTTGCCTACCATGGAATCTACCTCTTTGAATGTTAATACATCTAGAAATGAGAGTTTTAAAACCAATTATTCAACTGGGAATCACCCAAATAGAAGGCCTCGTCCATTCTGCGACTAATACAAGCGTCCAGGGCATACCAAAGATAAGTGTTTCAAGCTGCATGGTTATCCTTAAAACAACACCTTTAATACTAGATTTAATAAGGACAAAAGAATTTCTGCCAATGTGCATGGTGCACCAGTTGAATCCATGTCAGTTAAGGTTGATGGGATGAGCTCTCAAGGGTGCAGTGACAACAACAACATGAGTTCCCCTCTTAATTTGACTAAGGAACAGTATTGTCAACTATTCAGTCTACTACAGCAATTTCACATTGGGGGTGGAGGAGAGAACACCACCAGTCCGGCTCTAACCAATGGAAGTGCCAATTTTGCAGGTATATTTGCTTGTTCTGCCTCAGTCTTGTCTATTGATTTTGGTTTGCTATCATGTAGATGATTTACACCATGTGCTGACCTCTGGATTTTAGACTCCGGAGCATCCAACCACATGAACTTTAATAGATCCTTGTTATCTCATACTAAAACTCTTTCATATCCTTTGCTAATGACTCTACCAAATGGCTATCAAGTGAAAGTGACAAAAATTGGAACTATAACATTTACATCTCAGATAGTATTGCATAGAGTCCTTTATGTACCTTCCTTCAAGTATAATCTCATATCCATTCATTGCTTTACTTCACAGCTTAAAAGCTTAGTTGCTTTCACTGGCTCTTCATGTCTCCTTTGCTCCAGCTGTCTAAAGAACTCAGTTTCAGTTTCAAATTCTGCTCTTTTGAAACTTACACAATTTTACCTACTTCATGTGATGTAAATAGTTTACATTCTCACCCTCACTCACCTGTAAGTGTTTCACACACTCACACCCATCCATGTTCACTTGTAAATACTTCCAATTGCAATAAAACTCAGTGCTCTACTTCACAGTATGCTTTGCTTAATACAAACAATGTGGACCTTATATGGCACAACAGGTTGGGACATGTACCTTTTTGTGAAGATGAGGGGTATATATCAATTCCAGTCCAATTTTCATCAAAACAACCTTTTCTTTGTCCAATTTGCCCCATGGCAAGACAATCTAGGCTACCCTTTCCTCAGAAAACAAGCTCCACCAGTAATATCTTTGATCCCCTACATGTTGACCTGTGGGGACCTTATCATGAACCTACTCATGACAATTTTAAATACTTCATTACCTTAGTGGATGATTATAGTAGGTGTACCTGGACACACCTCTTGATCTTCAAAAGCAATGCTTTCAAGATCATTAAAGCCTTTGTGTCTATGGTCAGTACACAATTTCAAACTAAAATCAAGTGCATTAGGCCAGAAAAAGGCCTAGAGTTTACCAGCACTGAGTCCACTCATTTCTTCCATTCCAAGGGAATTATTCATCAGAAAACATGCCCTTATACACCTCAACAGAATGGAGTGGTAGAAAGGAAACATAAGTACCTCCTTGAGACTGGCAAGGCACTCTTGTTCCAATCCAAACTACCCCTCAAATATTGGGGAGAATGCATCTTAATCGCCACCTATATTATCAATAGACTACCTACTAGCCATCTCAAAAAATAGAACTCGTTTTGAATGCCTATACAAAAGAGTACCTACGTACTCTCACCTTAGAAGTTTTGGTTATTTATGTTTCCCTACCACTCCTAAGCCTCACAGAACAAAATTTGAACCAAGAGCAACACCCCATGTCTTTGTAGGTTACCCCTATGACACAAACGGGTACAAGGTCCTTAGTCTCCTCAACAAGAAAATTTCTGTTTCCAGAGATGTAGTGTTTCATGAGAATGTTTTTCCCTTTGCTCTTTTACCTGATTCTGCACCTTTTCCTTCCGTCCTTCACTCCGTTCCCTTTGTTTATGACTTGCCTTTTCATTGTAGCAATCCTGATAAGTCTACAACTCTTCATCACCATTCTCCTTCATCCAACATACCATGCTCATATGTTTCCTCCACTTCATTACCTTCTTCTTCTACTCTTCATCCTATTTCTCCTCCTATAGCTACTAGGAAGTCCTCTAGACCTCATAAGTTACCTGTTTACTTGGAAGATTATGTATGTTCCCTTCCCAACTTAAAACCTCATGTCTCCACTGACTCTCCTTTGTCTCTTAGTGCTTTGTTCTCAAACCATCACCATGTGTCTCTTACTTCTTTACTCCTAGATAGTTAGCATCTTGTGCAAACTGTTTGTCATGATAGTGAGACTTCTTCTTATGAAGAGGCAGCCTTGCTTCCTGCTTGGCAAGAGGCTATGTCTTTAGAATTTGGGGCCTTACATGCAAATAACACTTGGGACCTGGTTCATTTACCTTCTGGTAAGAAAGAAATAGGTTGTAGATGGGTCTACAAGGTTAAACACAGGGCTGATGGAAGCATAGAGAGCTTCAAGGTCAGGTTAGTTGTCAAGTGCTATACCTGACAGGCTGTGATTGACTACATAGAAACCTATTCCCCTATTGTAAATATCACTACAGTTAGAGCACTTATAGCCACTCCAGTTAA